TATATATATATATATATATATATATATATATATATATATATATATATATATATATATATATTATGTTAGCGTCAGATTGGTTGAATAACTAGTTAAATATATATATTTGTAGGTAGTTTATCAAAATATGTCGACATATAATTAAAAAAAGTTTGAACACTGTAGAATGTGGTCAAGTGTTTGTTTTTAGGATTTAAATACATTAAAAATCATGATTTAGACCTTTTTTAATTGTTATATATCATCAAAATTTAGTACTCGATTATGTCCCTCTCCAATGTCTATTCAACTTCCCTAACAGTCATGACCATTGACCAAGTTAGGTCAAAATATTAAACAACAAGTAATAAGATCACAACTAGTGTTTATAATTATAACACATATTTCAAACAAGATTATAGTTATATCCTCTAATTATTTTCTCTTCAATTTCTTTTCAAATGGAAAATATTGATAGATGATGTTGAATCCTTATAGCTTACAAGTATATGAATTTTTGCTAAATGTCAATCATGAAGATTTCTATAAAATTGTTTAGTCGGGTATAGTATGTTTATTATTGCTAAATTACATGGTTATGGTTATGGTTATGTTAAAAAAAATGATTAGAAGGTTATGTCAAAAAAACTCAATATTTTAATTCTGGGTTGTTTTAAAAACTTAACTTTTATTTATTTATTTATTTTTATTTTTTCTTGAATGGCAAGATGTTAGAAAAAGAAAGAACAGATACAGGAATTAATGGCCAACATTGGGCCTTCTAACAAAAAAGTCCAATTGACTTTAAGCTCTTAATTTCTATGTACAAACCAAAAATACGATGAGAAACAATTTCATTAAACATCATGTCCTTATCCGCCACTCAAAGAGCACACACTTCATGTAATATCACAACACCTATAAACCAGTCAACATGATAAACATGATCTTTGCATAACTGATATCTTCACTTAATCCACCCAAGAGAGCCACTCAAAGGTGACTGCAGAACTGACCAACGATCAATACGAGACTAAATATCAGATGCCACACCACACTACAACAAAACAGGTCCATATGATATATATATATATATATATATATATATATATATATATATATATATATATATATGTAGTAATGTTCAATGGGGTACATAATTTATCTTACTTTCCAACTCTTTAATAACATTATAAAGGACTCTAAAAATAGATATTAAAATACCATGACCACCAGAAAACAATCTTCAAAAGAGTCCATCTATCACCAATAGATATAGTATGACCTTCCAAGTTGATACAATAATAAGATTTCAACCTTCCATCTGCAACATATTTTTCCAACTAGTAACCCAAGATACCTAAATAGAAGGGACATCGCAAAAGACCTCATAATTACATCCAAATAATCGACTTCAACTGTAGAAACTCCCACCCTATAGATATTCAAGTTCTGCAAATTGATCGTAAAATCGGAAGCTAAATAAATTCAACAAAGTATCAATGTTTCAAACATTTTCTTGTGAAATATCACCAAGAAATTAGATTTATAAAAAATGAGAAGTCAATAAGTTATTATCGACAACCTTAACACATGAATAAAGGTCATTCACAACAATATCTTCACTTTCTACATGCAAATCCTCCATAGCTAAAATGAAAAGAAAAAAAAAAAAATCACTTTGTCATAAATCATGTCCAAATTGAAACTCACTTCCATTTATCAAAATTGAAGCTTGAGAAGACGATAAATAACCTTTTTTAAATAAACTTTTGAAACCAATTTGATTATGACCGAGATAAATATCTACATGTTGTATTGATGCAAATCTGCATAGGCACCCGTAAACATATATTTTCATCTTGGCCATCATCTACAATGATCACTCAAATAGCACCAAAAATAATCATTTAGCTTATAAATAATTTGATAACCATAAGTTAAAGTACGATATTCAAACACCATAAGCGAAATATTACGATTTAAAGTCATAATAATCAAGTAATCATTTAAAAAACATATCCACTTGCCCCTTGAAAACATTTTATATGTTTAATAATAATCATTAAACTAAATACTAAATCAGTAATATTGATTTGTAGTTTTTCATAAATTAAAGATATCAAAATGACTTGGATACCATCGATAATCATTAATAAGACTATGTCATATTAAATATTATGTTTTTCCTTACAATTTTCCACGTATAAACGGGTAGCTTTACCTTTACATAAGTGTCAAGAGAGGGACAAGTGACAACACAATATCATCATACATATACTAAACCGAATTATTCCTCGCATATTCTCTAATAACAAAATATATTTGGAACTCACCTTGTCCCCTACAACCTTTTTTTTTTATATTTTATAGATGCGTGAAAATAGATGGTCAAATAATTGGTTTCTTTGGTACGAGTGACATTTTTCTGTCTTAATTTTTGTTTTTTATAAATAATGAATGACTTAAAAACGATTAGTAAAATTATATCATTGCAATAAAAAATTTAATCTTTAATAAAACATTTTAAAATAAGTACCCTTGTAATTTGTATTAACAAATGAATGAATTTGATGACAATAAATTATGCGATTTTATCTTTGAAAAAAAAAAGATGTTTTAGGTTCCTGACTTCCTGTATTAGCATCGTTAAGTCAAAACTCAAAACCATTAGTTAAAGGGTATATCTCTTATATAAAAAAGAGATAGATGGTATTCAACCATTGATGCTAGCCGATGTGAGTATATTAACCAAAAAAACGAATCAAAATTACATTAACCAATATAATTGAACCATATATTAATAAAACACATGATACGGTTTCTCATTTTGATTAACCAAATACATATGGTTCAGTTATGATTTTCTTCTAAAATCGAACCGAACCAATAATAATAATGAATGTTTTTTTAATAAAATATAATATTAATTTTTTATACTCCTAAATCCACCTACTCCTAAACTAACTTCTAAATTCACTTATGTCTCAGACGAGACTTGAACCTTCGACCTTAAGAATGGAAGACAACATCTGATACCGTTGGGCTAGAAGTCATTTGTTATATAATATAATGTTAAATATATGACATGCAATTATATTAAGAATTGAGAATTTAAAAGATATTATTTAGAATTAGATAGGATAACTGATATTCTATCAAAACAATAATATATGGACATCATATCTATTTATTCTTTATATATATATATATATATATATAT